CATTTGGCTTCAACTCCCGGTCGGTAAAAACGCTCCTAACACTGCGCGCCAAGATGTGGTGCTTTGCTTCAACCAGATTCTCCATGCCAATCTCTGGGTCAGGAAACCTCACCAGCGTCGGGTATGGATTATGACAAAATGTATCTTCCTCGTTCTGCTCATAGTGTATTACGAAATAGTCGTTTTCCTGTGCCACTGCTGACGGAAATTCAATCATCAAGTAAAGCTCATTGCTCATCCGCTTTTCGCTCGCGTCCACTACCTCGATTTGTCGAAAAGTCAAACGGTCAAGCCAGTCCACCTTCTCGATCATCCCGTTGTAATACTTCTTCCGGAATTTGGATAGCTTTAATATCTGCATTCGTTCATCGGCAATGTGTCGTCCGCATAAAGCATCGTATTTCACTTTTCCCGGTGTTGTACTCGGAATCATTCCGTCGCCTTCGCAAAAAGGCCATACTTTCAACGCACAGATCCGCTGTCGAAAAATACCGCGCTTAGTGAACAACGAAATGGAAGTTCCTCCAATGGCATGAGGCTGAACAGAAGTGTGGATATCGTAAATGGTGAACGCCACTTGAGCATCTCTAAAGTAGAGACACATCAAATGTCAGTGCTTCATCACCCTAAACGTTGCGAACCGACTTCATGTACTCCACGTCAAAAAACAATCCTACTTCCTATTCTCCTTAAAAGGAGTAAAATATTTCATGCAAAACAACAATGAATATGGCTATCAATTTTTTACTCTAAGCAGGTAGCATGTTCACAACATTGGTATGTTAACCACTGCTAATTAACAATATCGCCTGTAAGAAATAACAATCTCATGCCCTTCTCCATATCCGCATGGCGGAATCTGAATATTTCCTTGCTCCCCAGTAGCTTAGAGAACCGATCAAGCAAGCTATGATTCTTCGGTGCAAAACCGTCTACGTTTACGGATAAGATCATTTCTGGAGGTGTCCAAATAGGATTTTGTTCGGCCATGCACAATGGCGTGGTTTTGCGTTCATTCACTGTAGGTGCTAAAACACCCTGAAGCCAGGCCTCCTGTTTAAACAGCTTATAATCTA